TCTTATTTTGAAGCCATCAGTTGGGCTCTGAGTTTAAAGGCAACATAGAAAAGGATGAAATCTTGAAGTAGGAATAACCACTTCCCTAGCTGATCTGTTTTTTATTTTTTTAAATTTTTTAATGATTTTATTTATTTGTTTGACAGAGAGAGATCACAAGTAGGCAGAGGGAGAAACAGGCTCCCCACTGAGCAGAGAGCTCTATCCCGGGCTCTGGGCTCCATCCCAGGACCCAGGGATCATGACCTGAGCCAAAGGCAGATGCCTAAGTGACTGAGTCACCCAGGAGCCCCAGCTAATCTGCTTTTTAAACTTAGATCTTATAGGTGAAAACTGTCCCAGTTATTTTATGATAGGCCATGTCCTCAAAGTTATGATTATCCAGAAAATAATTCTTTGGTTTCCATTACCAGATGTAGGAACACTAGAAATCATTAAGCTTGAACTTTGACAAATCCTAGGGATGAGTCAGAGGTTAATGGTTTTTCACCTTTTCATTTATAAGAGATACCTCTATGTTCTGAGAGATCCTATCTATGAAACCACTTGTCTTTATTAAGGATAATGCCTTCATTTTCCCAGAGTTTCTTCTTGATTTGTGCTGTGTTAACCCAGAGCTGGTTCAATTCCAAGCAACAATAAAGAAATCTGCCATGGTATTAGCCTATGCAACTGTTTTCAGGAAATTTTATAATTTCTAGTAAACCTTTTTTTTTTAAGATTTTATTTATTTGAGAGAGAGAATGAGAGAGAGAGAGAGCACATGAGTGGGGGTGTTAGAGGGAGAAGCAGACTCCCTGCTGAGCAGGGAGCCTGATGCGGGACTTGATCCCGGGACTCCAGGATCATGACCTGAGCCAAAGGCCAACCTGAGCCTAACCAACTGAGCCACCCAGGCGCCCTCTAGTAAACCTTTTGAAATGTTAAAAATATCTCAAGAACACCAATGACTATTTTCATGGCTGTCTGAGGGTCCTAGATCCCCAGGTTTGACATCATCTCTGTATTTGTTTCAAGTTCTTGTACAGAGCCCAAAAGGCTGAATGCTTTCCACAAAAAGGAGAATCTGGTACTGTCAAGGTCCCACCCTCAGGGCATCCAGGGACATTAGTGGAGATGTTATGGAGGTTCACTCTAACTGCATACCCATCATGGGCATCCAGGCAAGGGTCAGTCACTCCCTGATATTAAAGTCTTTAATCCTGGCAACCTTGCCAGGTGCGTACATTATGCCACCCATTTTACAGACAAGGAAATCAAGGCACCAGGAAGTCAAGGGGCTGCGGGCCAAGGTCAAGACTGCACAGCTACAGTGGCAGAGCTGGGATTTGCATGTAGGCAGTGATTCCAAATCCTACTCTTAACCTTCTGCTATATTCCAGTCTCACAAGAAACCTACGGCTGCTATGCAGTTGAACTGAACAGGAGAGAGGTACCTTGGGCTAATAACTATACCCTAGTCACAAAGATCGTTTGGTGGATTAATTGAAAAGCACAGCATCTAAGGGCTTGGAAAACAATGAGAAACACTCCCAGCTCCCAGAAAGGGCAGACAAACCATTTCTCTCTTTTTGCAAAAACATAAAGGAAGTCCATTAGTCCCTGAAATGGTTTTCCTGTCTTCCTAAAGAAGTTGGCCAAAAAAAGAGTCTTCTTTCCTTTTTCATCTTTAGACTTTTCCTTAAAGAAAGTGAGTTCACTCTGCGATGCATGCGGGGCACTATCTCAGACTTCCTTTTTTTTCTCTTCTCTGTCAGAGAGCAACTCCCAATCCTTTGCTGAAATCCCATGCCTGATAGCCTGTCATTCTCCATCTTTTCCCTCTCATGCACACAGGTGTTTTGTGAGTTTTGGGGAAACTGTAGATGCCTGAGTGCTGGGCCAGGTGCACTGAGAAAGCTCTGCTTCTTGATTGCCAGGATACAGAGTTATGTCACAGCTGACAGTAGCTCATTGCACTCGCCTCAGAAAACATCCACAGTAGGAGTACTCAGGCTAGTATCAGCGGGGGCAAGGAGCATCACATGCCCGATGCTTGGACCCAGCTGCTACCAGGGAATGACCTGGATGAGGGCAATGCCTGTTAAAAGCCACGCCAGTCTGGGCAGCACAGGCCTTAGGGCAGATTGGGTCTCTCCCAAATTTCTCTATTTGTCCATTGTCTTGGGATCTTGACAGGAAGCAAGAATACAACTTACGTCCCTGCAAGTTTTCTGTGTGTGTTCTATCCCCGATATATGGCATTTTATAAGATTTTATAATTTTAAATCAAGGGAACGGTTATAAAAATGGGGTTGAAAAAAACGTGGGTACTTTCATAAGCAATGACTAATTCATCTCCATACGTTCTATCAGTTTCACTGCGGTCAAAAGCAGGTGTTTCCAGGCTATGAATAAGTAGTTTGCATTTTCAAAATTAACAAATTGGACCAACACCAAGGAAAAAAACAACAACCATAGACAGCCCACCAAAGAATTGTTTACAAAAGAAGATGAAGCTCATAGCAGTGGTTTGCAAACACCACCAGACGAGCTTGTGTAAATGCCCTTCATGTAGTCATGGTTCTTCAGCCTGTCACAGATACTAAAGAGAAACGCAGAAACAGGAAATTACAGACTATTTTAAACAGCATGTTTTATTAAACTCACTTGCTGATGCACTTTATGGCAGGATGCGAGATTCAAGTGTTCATAACTTACATCTTTTCAAGTGCTTTTCCTAAGTGAATTCTCCCAGTTGAAATACAGCAAGTACACAGGGCTGGAAACAATCTCTAAAGCAGTAACTGTTTCACCCTTGGTCATGTAGCTCTCACATCCAGTGGAGTAGTGTTAGCCATGTGCAGATAATCTACCTCGCTTGCACACTGCAACTGTAGGGAAGCCATGGAGGCCTTGAGTAGTAACTTAAAAGATCCTAAATGCGTTTTATGTTAAATCACAATCAAAACACAGTGATCTTAAAATGAATTACTAGAAACCGCACGTTGTCTCACATCACTGAAATACTGATGCCATTCCTCTCTTCATGGACGGTTCTGCATTTCGTTTAAACCATCATTGGAAAAAAAAAAAAACAAACCCATCATTGGGCAGGGCCTGCTGCATCGTCTTTCTTGAAACGGCCTAGCAGAACTGGCAGGGATAACCTTAACTACGAATGAAATGGCTTCAAATTTAAGGGGCTGTCATAAAAATGGATTTGAACAACTAATTATTCTCAAAAACGTTTTCTGCTCACAACTTGTTTGAGGAATATAAAAGCCTAGCTGCACTGCATGGGAATCCTTATATCCTTGTTTATTGTAAAGTTGACATCTCTTAACGCCCACGTCTGCTGCAAGTTGTTCTCAGCTCTTCTCTAGATACATCGAAAGGAAGTCATTAAGTGGAGCTGTATAATACAAGTTCATGATCGGAGGGGTGGGTAACCCTACTTTGATGGTGTTAACTATGATCTCTGAAAATAAAGGTTCATTCACTTGCTTCTGCCCTTATTAAACAGAATGTTCTGAATCTCTATTGTCTTAAAAGATCATGCCAAAGATGCTTTAACCTAGTGACTGGTCATCAGATAGTCACTTCCATCAGTTTTGAGTTTTTCTACCTTCCACCCAAGTCCTGGCTGCTGTAATCCTGTCCTTGGGACCCCTTCAAGGTGAAGGACAGAATAATAGGATTTTAAGAGTTGGAAGCGTATGACGATGATATCTGTGCTTTTTTAAAGTGCTTCTGCCAAACAATCTTCTACAATCACCACTTTCAGAGAGGAAGGGCCAGAGGCAAAGGTTAATGATTTGGTTAACGAGGTGCACCTAGACGCCTCAGAGTAGCAATTAAAGGCATTCTTGGGGGAGCTGGGCCATTTTCTTAAATGAAGATTTCCCCTCATTTAACTTTTAAAAGTCTGGAATCTGCCCTATCAGGTTCTCCTTAAAGCAAAGCACAGCAATGAGAAAAGGTGCTACTTCGGAGTGTGGGGTGGAGTGTGTTGGCTTTACCAGTCTCTGAGACAGAACTATAGAACCCAGTTAGTAGATTATTATCTGTGCCTTGGCCACCTGGAAAAATCAAAGTGAGTATCTTCTGAATAGAAATGGTGATACAGGCTCCTAAGGAGCCCTAATGCTCATACCAACAAAAGGAACATTCATATTTGGATGGGTGTTTAGGGGTTTTTCAAGGAAGCGGGGGAGCATGACTTTTGGTATGCTTAGAAATGTCTTAGAGACAAAAACTTGATGACTAAAACTAACAAATTTTAATGTTGCTGAATTCAAAGGCCTCTAATCGTCCAGCAGAGAAGCTCCAGTGGGTTCTGTTGAGCAGATGCCTGAGCCTGCAGCTCAGGTGAGTGCTATGGAAAATCACCAACTCTGTCATTTCACAGCTTTGGCCATCAAGAGGAACATTGTCTGATAATGCTGGGGGCTTCTAAAAAGCAAAAGGATGCCACTTCTTTCATATTTAAATCTCTAGGATGTATTACACTCATAATAAGGATTTTACATTTGACAATTAAGCTTCAAATTAGCTTTCTCTCTTTATCAAATAAAATATTAGCCTCTAAGAATAACCTTAATACAGAGTTGTATGGAATACCACCAGCAATAATCTACAGCTATTTTGACTGCTGACATATGGGTCATCTTTTTGACAATTTGACATTTCATAAGGCAATCAGCAGGATTCATTCAGTATTTATGGTATACTATTTTTTTGTCAGAAACTTTGCAAAAATAAAAATCTTTATAGATTCTTTAAGATAAAACCTTGATAACCAACCACATCACTTATTAACATTGGCCTCTTAATCCACAGAAATCTAAATTCACAAACTAGGACTCTTCTAAAACACTGGTCAGGCTGACCTCTTAAAGTAGTCTTTCGTTTTGAAAACTCCAGTGTGGCCACTACCCACTAAGACATTTTGAGTTTTTTTAAAGGAGAAACAGCAACAGAAAAGAGAAACATTGCCGATGATCATTAAAATAAGAAAATCTGAATGAATTTTGATCATTTTAATAAATATATATCAAGAAAACCTCACTTTATTACAACACATTCATATACAAGCATCTATCACCTAAGTTTTCAACATCAAATGTTTATCAAATATTGAAAATAAAGGACAAAACATTACTAGACTATTTAGCCATAACACAAGAACATGTTTTAAAAATTGGTCCTTGTGGACATTGTCCAAATGATGATCCTACTCATACACTGTATGAATGAGACCTATATTTAATATTAATAGCAATAATAAAAAAGCTTTATCTTGGAGAAACTGGGAGGACTTACTTCCTCCGTTTGGCATTTGGTTCCTGTGAAGTATTGTTTAAGGAGGCCCAAGTTCAATTAGCAACCTTGGAAACTGGAATACAGTTTAGCAGGAGGAGTTGGCTGGAATAGGACGATGGACGGTCAGAGGGGCACTCTGAACACTCTTGCAAATGTACAAATTAAAGAAATCATCGAGAAAACTGTTGACCAAATACATGGTAGCTATTGCCAACTGGGTCCCATTTCTCCAAAATAACTTTCCAAAAACTAAAGTCTTTACATTCTTTAAGATAAAACCTTATTGATCACCACATCATTTATTAACATTGTGCTTCTTAATCAACAGCAAAAGTCATATATAAAAAACCACATGCTTTTATAATCTAAACGAGTGAAATGATGCAAAACAGATTAAAGTATAATGCATGCCACTGGTTCATGAACTTCATTGGACAAGAAAACAAAACAAAACAAAACAACCCAAAACCCAAAAAACCCAAACCCCAGCAACAGACCCGTTGCCATAGAAAAGCTCAAGCAGCTTAGTGCTGGTTTCTAACAGCTCCATTGTTTCCCCCATCCCTTTCTAAAAATGCCAAATCCAAAAGCAATTGGGCATCAAAAACAAAGGAAGAATAGAGATGTTGAATCAAAGTTGAACACAATAGTTTCGAAGTTAACAGTTTCCAAACAATATTGATCCACCCTGTGTATTTTTTTTTCCTGTTTGTTAAATCCCTGCTGTAACTCTGATTTATCCTTAATTTTCACATTGGCAAAAATTAAGATAAAGTAAGGCACCAAAAATCGCCCTGTATAACACCTAACTGCCTAATCACGCATCGCAGGCAAGCCAGGAACTTGCAGGGATTACCCTTCTACACATATTGTTGATTGCCGCACCTAGACAGGTGTTTCATTATGTTACAACCCATTTTCATCTGTCATGCAAGACTGTTAAGACAAGTCCTTAATGGCACGGTGAAGCCACTTCATCTAGCTCCCTGTCTTCAGTCTTTTATTCAGAAAAAAATACTGTATCATATAGAAAAAGCAGACATCCTTTGCTGGTTATGTTGGTTTGCTGACCAAATAACTACCTAATTAAATTGGCAAACACTTTGCCGTTTCTTAGCTAGTGACAGGCTCCTTGGGGGCGCTGGAAAGATCACAAGGGCACATTGTCCCCCAGTCTAATCTACTGACCTTTTCTGTGAGAAAACTAAGGTATACTTTGAAGCATTTTAAGTCAACTGTTTTCTCGGTAACATCACCACATTTCTAAGTAGCTTGCTGAGGCCTACTATACAGATGTTTTATGCAATCTGCTCTCCAAGCATTAAAACGACACGGCGTGTTCATGGCATAATTTCATCAGTTGTACAAAACTATAAAATCCATTCAAAATAAAATTTATGAGAGCTAATTGATCATGCTGTGCATGCTTCAGAGGCTCGATGGAGAGATGGTTCATAGTTTACTCCCTTTGCCACAGCACGCTTTGTTACTTGGTGAAGGCTCCTTTTTCCTTAGGGACTTTTTCCAAGACTCACTCACATTGCTTTTGTCACTATATCCAGTCTCAAAATAATCATAAAATTGGCCTTTGCCCTCAAAGGCAAGGTCATTTCCCACAGGTTCATGGCTTAGGGGGCCACCATCCCTGTTGGTGTCATTATTTGCCTTCTCATCCCTTAATGTGGCCTTTTCCTGAACACCTAGTGACCTGACACGTGTGACAAAGCTTTCACTGGCGGGTCCCTGGCCATCACCCTTGTAAACAGGTGCACTGCCTACATCGAAATCCGCCTGGCGGGAACAGCTCGGTAAAGGCAGAGGGGGAGAGGGGGAGGAAGCTGAGGGGGAGGGGGGGACAGTGCTGGAGGCACTTCCGACACTGGCATGGACAGAAAGGGGCAGATTTAGGTAGTGACCACCACATTCTTGGTAAAAGCAGCAGGCATGGAACTTTTCACACTCCTCTTTGGCCATCCGCGGTCGCTTCCGATAAGGACAGTCTTGAGCCATAAACCACTCTTGGGCAGAGGTGCCGCTGAAAGAGCAGGCAGGAAAGCACCAGTTATTCTGCATGATAATCTCGCCGTGGATCCGTTTCATCAAGTTGTTGATAAGGACGGATCTTCGGAGGTACACTTCAGGATCATCGATAAACTTTAACTTTTCTAATGACATATACAAGATGTGGGCCCGTTCCTCAAAAATCGAGATGGTCTAAAAGTCGAAAAAGGAAGAGAAAACTTAGGAGGACATGGGCGGTGTAAACATGCCATTCCCAGTATATTGCTTTCGGGGCAGTCTCTGGATCTGGGCCTGCTGGGGTCCTGTTTCTCCCAGGTTCATTTAGGGATGCTGGCCCCCATGTTGCTCACATCCTCCCGCCCCCCACCTTCCCGCCTCGATGGTGTGGTCAAGCACCTGGGAATCCCATCCAGGTGCAGACCTCAGCAGGGACAGGTCAGGTTGTTTGCGATTTCAATGGCCCAGTGAGGGAGATGCTGAAACACACAACACTCATCCACCCTGCTAGAAGTCAGGGGAGCAGCTTCTCCGGAGGGCAGACAGGTAGTAACAAGGGGCACAAGGAGGGGTTCTCGGTGGCTGTTTATGTTGTTTCTCGATCTGGATGCTAGTTACATGGATATGTTCACTCTGTGAAATCCATCAAGCTGTACTCTTAGGATACTTGGGCTTTTATGTGTCCGTATACAAGCGCATGCACGCACACACACAGACATACACACACGCATGTATTATACGTCAGTAAGTGTTCTGTGAAAGATGTCAAAATGCAGGTCATAATAAGTCTACTTCAAACCCTGGCCAGGAGCATGACAGCTATGTTCAGCACTGTCCCTCTGGCTTTCACACTTGCAATTATCCTTACTTGATTGAGGGACAACAATAATTGAGGCTCAGCCCCTGAAAGGATCAGTCCGTGGAAGGGCCAAACAGGCCTCCTTCTGGGGCCAGGCAGGAGGAGAGATACAGGGAAGAAATGAGAAGACTCACTTCTGAGCAGTGTGATACTATCACTGGGTGATGACTGGTACAAATCCAGTAGCCACTGGGAACCAGCTACAACCATAACACAGAAATGAAAGAGGAAATAAACTGCTGTGTCCTGGCGACCAGCTTTTCCAGGTCTTTAAAAAAAAAAAAAAAAGCCACCTGGTAGCATGACCTGAGGAACTGCGAGCGAAGCCAGCCCAGGTTAACCAAAGGCAGGAACCATACGTTCAGAGAAAAGCCCAGCACCTGCCAACGCATGCCGATGTCTTTATGAGCAAGGTCAAGGCAACACCTGAAGGACAAGCATGTGGGGTGGTGAGGAGAGAGGGTAAAAGGAGACACAGAGGAAGATGAATTGAAAAATTAAAAATCCTCTCCGCATCTCAGACAGCTATGGTCTGGGTTATACCCTCCTTGATTAAATCTGTAGATATACTTTTTAAAGGAAGAGAACCAAAAGGAAAAATAAGTGGTATTTGAAAAGCTTAGGTGGCCAGTTTCTTATTTCTAGGCACTTCCTGGATCCCAGTATTTTCTTCTTAGGCATGCAAAAGAGTTAGCTGTGGCCTTTTCTAGGGAATGAATTACGTATTTTAACAAACAAAACCTATGTAATGAGTGTGCAATGAAGTGCGTGTTTCTACTTGCACGCACACATTCAAGGGATAGTGAGTCCACCTCTAAGAGGTCAAGAGAAGCCCTGGGGAACTGCTCCCAGGTGGGCACACACAGAAGGGGCTTTGGCCATGGGACCTAGAGTGTGGGGGGAAGGGAGATGTCAGGAGAGAACAGTGCGTTTCTGCACACACGTGAAAACATGGACTGCTCACAACCACTAACACAACTTGGGAACAGTCAAGGCATTTGTAAAAAAGATGTTCCTTGGATTATATAATTTTGCTATTTCTGGGTAGAGGAGCTCCTGCTGGCTCTTTCTTCGACTACTTGTGAAAATAACAAAGGACCCAAAAAAGTGACAACGATTAATATGGCTCTGCTGAGAAGTGGCTCCTTTTCATTGCTTGAGTGGAACAATTTAATTTCTGGAAATGGATCAAGCAACTGTTACTAAGTATCTTAAACTCTTAATAAGAATAATGACTATTAAAAAAACATACTTTATGGCTACAGCTGCTGAGTGGTGGGTGAAACTCCTCTTCTTCCACGTACTTCCTCTTAAAGTATGTGATCTTGGATGTTGTTACAGGATTTGAAATTCCCCTGTAATGTGATCCTGTGGTAATAAATCAGACATGACAAATGACATGCGGTTTGCCAGAGGTTCTCCAAACAAAATACTTTCCTTTAATTTCCTTATAGAAGATAACTTGGCTACATATTTGTCTGTACATGTGGTGATTAAAAATAAACATTTGTCTTAATATTTGCTATCATACAGAATTCTGTGACCCAAGCTAGGTAAGGATTTCTAGGTAATCATAAAGGAAAATGACCTACGTCAGCATTTACAAAATACTCAGCATCTTAATTCTATGTACAAACAGCAAAATTCATAAAGGGGAGGATAGTATTTACTCAAACTGTTTAATTAACTCCATGATAACAGGACACCACTGCGCAAATGTGTACATCTTTAACCATAAGCATGAATAACCAAATAACTTTAAAATGTTATTGGCTGTAGATAAGGAAGCAAATGACTATCTGCACATTGGAGTTATAATATTCCTTCTTTCAAAATATGAAATTCAAAAAAATTTCAACTTAAAATTAAAATTTGGGCTAACCAAAGTCTTTTTTTCTCTCTCAAAAATGTAACATGTCAACCAGGAATCAAAGTAGGGTCCAATTTTGAAAGAACAAAGCTTTTTTTTTTAAAGATTTTATTTATTTATTTGAGAGAGAGAATGAGATAGAGAGAGCATGAGCGGGGGAGGGTCAGAGGGAGACGCAGACTCCCCGCTGAGCAGGGAGCCCGATGCAGGACTCGATGCGGGACTCGATCCCAGAACTCCAGGATCATGACCTGAACTGAAGGCAGTTGCTTAACCAACTGAGCCACCCAGGTGCCCCGAAAGAACAGCTTTTAATCCCAAATGAACTTCAGGGAGTACTTAGTTTACAGTTTAGGTTTTGTTTTTTTTTTAAAGTAGTACCACAGAAAAATCCAAGGAACTTATCTTAGAATATAAGAATAAAAAATCAGGAAGAACATACTTCTGTATTTAAAAAGTTTTCCCCTGAATACGAAAGCTAATTGTGTGCTTAATAAAAAGAGGAGACACATAGCTTCTGGCCCAAAGTGCAGATTCCTTTATGTCTCAGGGGATAAAGATTTCATTGTCAAAAGCTCACCAGGGCTTGTGTAGCTCTGAGAGAACTGTGCGGTTCCATAGGGTGAAAAACCAAAACCCAAACTCAGGGTTTCAAAGTCTGGTTTGGTTCTTTTAAAAATATAGGGGGCACAACTTACACATGAAGTAGCAGCACGTGTAGACTCAGGTTTGAATGCAATTTAAGTATCACCTCTGATCCTCTCCCTGGAGCCCTGGGCTCACTTAGGAAAGGGGCACAGACAGCCTGGGAAGTCCCTGGAACAGCTCTCAGCTCAGAGGGGCGCCCCAGACACCACCGCCACCCACGAGCCTGGCTGCAGAGGGCAGTGGGGGAAGGTCAAGGGCAGTACCTGCCAGTGGGGGACCGGCTCCCCGGTCTCCCTGCAGAGGGGCCTGTGCTGGCCCAGGGGGGCTCGGACCTCCGTAGCTGTCAGCCTCCCATAGTGTCTGGTACCCAGCAATTTCAGCAGCTCCTTCCGAGACAATGGGCTCGCAGAATCTATTCATGGACAGAACCAGAGTCATCTCTGACAGCCTCAGATCTAAAAAAAAAAAAAAGAAGAAAAAAGAAAAGAAAGAAAGAAAACAGCCCTAATCAAGAGTAAGCCGGGGGATGGCCTTGGCATTTTCATTCCCTTGCTTTGGGAAACTTTTACTTCTTGGTCCTCCCCTTCACCCTGAAACATTTTACTATTTTTTCAAAGAAAACCTCAGCAAACTCTCTTGCTGCTATTAGCTCAGCCTCTGTGTTCAGCAATCTGCATTTCATGGGCGGATCTTTAAAATCCCATTTCTTATTGTTCTCAGATTCCCCTCAGCCCTCTTTGAGACAGCTGCTTTGCCTCCTAAACACATTTTCCCCCTGACCTTCCCGTAGAAAATGGACCGCTAAGAAGCAAGTCCAAAACCCTTCCGCTTCCTTTCTATTAATAAGGCAAAAATCAATTTTCTAGTCAATCCCCCCGAGAGTCTCCTTTGATGAAATCCGCTAATCAATCGAAAGGAAAGGGTGGGGAGGCCGAAATCTCCCCGTAATCCCTACTGATGCTCTCGGGTGGGTTCGGGCTGGGCGGCTGCCCCCTCCTTCTCTCCTTTCCGCAGGGCCAGTTCCTCTACAACATTCTGGGGCTCCCTCCACTTTCTTCTCCCAAAACGAAGCAGACAGAGACACACTTGGTAGTTGTTTCCACCAGCCCTGATCGGCCTGAACTGGATCTGCCTCCAGTCAAAACACTGTAAGATGAAGACAGAAAATTGGCTCCAGTTTCAAGCCGGGAGTTGCAGCCCCACAGGAGCCAAGCACAACATCAACGGAGCAGGCAGAATATTAAACAGGAGCCAGGGCTTCAGGGCCAGAGGCAGCCTACAACTCTTTCCTCGGCAAGGCCCAGACACAAGGCAGGAACTTTCCAAGAGGCACCGCACTGCGGCCCTCCTCTTCAGCCCCCACCTCTGCCTGGGGCCTGCAGGGAGACTGGGAGCCTCTCCGCTCTGTGATGCCCACTGGGCTCCGCGTGGCTCACGTGGTGTGGGCCATCTCTCCCCGCCCCCCCCCGCCCTGGGCTCAGGGGCTTCACTTGGTCCCAACTAAGGCTCAAGGCAGGGTCAAGGGTGAGTTCAAGGGGGAAGAGAATTTTGATACTCGGGCAAAAAGACCAATGGGCCAGAGATCAGTGGTGATAGCACAGAAGCTCTGGCGCCTTATTAATGGCCAATTCCTTTTACGAGACCCGAACCTCCACTATCCCACTTTGCCATTTCAAGAACTGTCACAAAGAGTGATGTCAGCCCTGCTTTCTGAAGATTGATTGTCTTTCAAATATACTCTAAGGGTCTAGTTCATGCTTTCTTCTCCAAATTACACAGCTCCTAAGGTTTTGGGGAAAGGGCGAGTTCACCGCTGTCCAGCGGGAGAGTGTAATTACCTAGGTGTTCTAACAAGGGTCCACTTCCAGGTACAAGAAGGAAAACCACCAGGGGAAGGGGAGATAGCTTCACTGAAGTGATGAAGTCCTTATGGCTAACAGAGCAGCTCTTCCAGGAATGACTCCATCCTTTACCCAGGCTTCTCCTTGAGATCCTAAATCCTGTCCCAACCTCACTGAAGGATGAACAGGGGGAAGTGTCCGTGTCAGTGGCCAGAATGAGGACCCAGCTGATCTGGGCTGCTAAACCACCTACCCCTTTTCTTTTTAAAATGCCCTCCAAAGAGGCAGCAGCCGAAGACTCATTGCAAATAAAACCTTATTACAAAAAAAGAAAAAAAAAAAGAGCGGTTCGATTATTCTCTAAAAGCAAACGGTGGGACATGCCATTTATTTTGCTCTTGACTCATCAAAAAATTTACACTACACTGATTTGATAAACTAAGCTATTCTATCACCCCTCACTCGGCATCCAAACAAGATATCAAGCCTCGTGATAATTTATTCTCTGGGAGACTCTCATAAATGGTCTAATTTCTTACCTATAATAAAAGACAGTTGTATCAGCGAGTGCTATTGCCAGCACATGAATTATAGCTTTCTCTCAGTAGCCCTCTCTAACTCCAACAGTATTTTCCAGCCTGAAATTCACACTCACTTTCGTGTGGGATTCTGGGAATAAGACTCAAGCTTTTTGTCTATGTTGAACTTTTATGACATAAAACCAGAGGAGGTTCACAAATTCACGCCCCTTAAGAAAGTGAAGCATTTGTAGGCCCCCTAGAAGCAATTACCTTTGTTTAATAGGACATTATATTGGCCTGTGCTATTTTATGTTCCTAAGAGTTTTGTTTCCATTTTAATGACTTACTGTTGTAGCTGTTTTGGTTGTTAAGGATTTCAGTGTTTCTATTTGTTAGTATTGATCCCAGCATACGAAATCCTATCAGGATGCATCTGAACTTGAAACACAGCATAGTCCTTTTATCTTGGCTCTTTCTTTCCATTATGACATCTGATTTCTCTAAGGTTTTCTTTTTTGAACTGGAAACTTTTACACACAAAATCCTAAACCGGAGAAGCTCAGTGCCACAAATGATATTTCTAAGGCTGAATAAAATATGAATGACCGGATTATTTGGGAGCGAGGAGATTTTGCAGTTGAGTCTTCCTAGTCTATTCAGAATTTATGCCGGGATGTTAACAAATTAAGAAGGCAAGTTCCACATGCATGAAGCATCGGGAGTGTGTGGTACTAGACACCAATGTTTCACATGACTCTTTATTTGTATTACATGTGCAGATCCAAACTGTCATTATTCTCCGTATGATGAGATTTACATTATAATTCTACTACCGAGTTCAGAAGTTTAAATCCACAAATTCATGTGCTGTTAATATTAGATATAACCATGAAAATGTACCGTTATGGTAAAATTTGTTTTTTTAACATCAGAGGTGAGTGGATTCAAAAGAAGGCTGTTAAAGTGTGTTTGGTCTATACATGGGTTTAAAAAGTAAAAAATAAGAAGGTCATAACCTCTTATCTCCAGGCCCCTGTATGTCTGTTCTGTCACCCAACTGGATGTAGTGGCATGACACCTCAAGCATTCCCAGAAAGCTGAGGGCTAAGATGTCATGCTTTTCCAGCAAATGTTCATCGTAAAGTCAGCAGGCGTTGCTCTACAATTTGGTTTTTCCAGAGGGGTTAGGCTTGTTCTTTCCTGAGAGCCACTCTAATGCTAATAGGAGTGGCTGGCCCACAGAACAGGCTAGCTAGATTCAGTGGCCCCTTGAATCTAACAGGGGCTCCAGGTCATTCTTTGCCCAGCCCTCCCCCCATCTCTCACTGGAAATTAGAGAACATTAAGAGCATTCTAGCAGTTAGAGATCGGATTCTCACACTGAAACGCCGAGAAGTAAAGGGCCCATATTGTCAAGGCACCTTTGGGGCTGCCCAGGTGGAATCAAGCCCCTGACCTCGACGTTGTGCTTAGCAAGATCCCAACAGCTCGTCCAGCTGCTGCTGCTGGTGGTGGTGGTGGTGATGATGGAACGGGCTGAATGGGTGGAAGAAAATCCTTCGATCCTTCTAAATAGATGTCGCTTTTCTGCCAGTCCCGGCAGTACACCTGTCTACCCTGGGAAGTGCATTTCTCAGCTGTAGCTTCGAGAGGCCAGGAGCTTTAGGTCAGGTCCTGGGGCTAGGAACGCGGGTGCTGGGCCTGAAGGAGAAGATGGGGTGTCCAGGTGTCCGAGCCCTGGCGCCAGGTCTCCCCATCCCAGGCCCAAGACTGGGGTGGTGAGGTTTGGAGAACCGACCCCCTGCAGGCACCGCGTCCGGGCTCCCGCATAGACACACCCCCAGGGGTCGGTGCCGCGGCCCCGGAGCCCCTTCCCGGGTAGCAAGCCTAGCCCTGCCGGCCGCAGGAGAAAGTAAACAACACCCCAAGTGTCTGGGAACAAAGGCAAGTTGTCTTTCCACGGTGCCGGAGCCGTGCGCCTCTCCTGAAGAATAAGAGCTATTATTACTCTTTCTTTTCTTCTTCTTCTTCTTTTTTTTTTTTAAAAACAAGTTTCCTTCTAAGGGAAATAAACACCAAAGGTAGGATTCCAAGGAAATGACTCACGGCGGCTGGCAGGGCTCTGGCGAGGCTGGCCCGGGCCCCGCGCTCCAGCCCGCAGCAGATGCCTGCCCGGCCCTCCCTCCCTCGCCCGCCAAGCCCACTCGGAGCCCGCGGCTGCGGGAGCGCCCTGCGCGGCCGTGGGACCCGGGAGGCGGGGGACAGCGCCCGCACGGTCCGCGCCTCCCTGGTCCCGGGGGCCGCCTGCCCCCGCCCCCCTCCCGCCTCCGCGGCCCCAGCCGGGCACTCCGGAAAGTTGCTAGGGCCCAGCAGGCGGGAGGGGAGGAAGGCAGGAGAGAGGCGGAGGCGTGGACCAGGCGGGCAGCAGCCGAGCCCGCCGGGGAGGTGAGCTGAGGACAGAGGAGCCGCCGCCGCCCGCAGCGCGCCTCGGCTGCCGAGGAGAAGAGTGCGGGGGCGGAGGTGGCGGAGGACAGAAGGTGTCAGCTCCTGCAGCTATTCCTTTTTCTCGCAGACGCGCGCTCCTGACATCCACAATCCCTCCCTCTCCACCTGCCCAGCGCCGCGGCGACCAGACCCCGGGGGCATCCCTCCTACTGACCCCCGCCCCCTAGGGGAAAGGAGGGAGCGGCCGCCGAGGACCCTGGGGGGGCTCACCCGGGCTGCCATCCCCACCCGCCCCCGGAGTCGGCTCGGTGCGAGCAGGCGGCAGCGGTTCCCGCCCCGGTAAAGGCCCCGCGGCGCACGCCAGCCCCAGGAAAAGCCCGCGCCGCCCCGGCGGTTGTCCTGGCCCCCGCGCAGCCCGGGTCCCGCGCCGGCCGGTGCGCGTCCACTCGGCAGCCGCGGCGCGGGGAAGGCGCGGGGGAGGCCGCGGGGGTGCCAGTGGGCGCGCGCAAACGCCCTCGGGGACCGGCCCTCGCCCTCCACCCGCCCTGGCCTCGCCGCCCGCGCCCGGCCCGGCTCTTACCGCGGGGTCAGCCGGGAGGCGGCGGCCGGAGCGCTCGCGCTGCCGCTGGTCCGCTCTGGGCTCGGCGCCAGCCCGGCCGCCGGTGCACAGTGGCGCGGGGCCCGGCCCGGCGGCCCGGTCGGCGGTGGACGCTGGTGCGCGGCGGGCGAGGGTCCCGCAGGTCCCGCCGCCGCGACTGGGGCGCCGCGCCGCCGTCGCTGCAGACGGTTATGGTAATGAGCGGCTCTGTCTAGCGAGGAGCGTGTGAAACCCGTCAATCCTGTTTGCCATTTCCCCGTGGATTTCCGAGGAGAGGTTCTGCAGGATGCCCCCAGGGTGAGAGAGGGAACATGACAAGCGCGCCCGCTCTCCCGCCCTCCCTCTGCTCCCGCCGCCGCCGCTCCTCAGGCAGCACACGGGGCGCCTTCCCCTCACCCCCACCCCAGCCCGCCCCCTGCCTCCTTCCCGCCCTCCCTCCTCCCTCTCCTCCCCTCTCTCCCCTCCCCTCCCGGTGCCCGGGGACACGCGGGCCCAGCTCCAGCCCGCAGCCCAGACCCCACGCGCTCCCCGGCTCCCGCCCTAGCCCTGGGGGCTCGGCTCCAGCCGGATAACGTATTCACGCTGCAACCTTCTGAGATGTCTTTTTTTTTTTATTTGGTTTAGTTCTGTTGTTGTTGTATGTGCGTGTGATTAAAAAAAAAAAAATCTGTGCCTTTCCCACCCTTTGCAAAAGACTTTCTTCTCCTTTGCCACAGCAAACGGAGATGAGAAACAGATGTCTTTGCAGGACCAAGCAGTTATTCTCCCCTCGCCGCCCGCCCCCGCCCGTTCCCCTCCGGAGCTGCATATGTAGAAAAAAGCAACATTGGTCCTACTGCAACTTGAATTGGCGACTCTTTCTGGGTGGGGAGCCTCCAGGGAAAACCTCCAGGAAATAAAAAAAGTAATAAAGGAGGTTGTCCTTGGTCAAG